ACTCAGCTTTATAGCCACACTTCAGTTTTTCTTTAAATACTATTAAAATAATCTATCTGCATGACTACTCACTTTTATTTTATTTAGAAGTAAAACCTAAAAAACTTTCTTGTACTTTTTCAGAGCATATATTCCTAGAGTGCACATCTGAAGTGAACTGCCTTTCCTACACAGTCCTACATGAGAAAAAGTGTAAAACTTTTTCCTTAAATAACTGTACATACCCAGTTTTACCAGGATTACTTAACAACAATTAAAACCTGTCTATTTGCTCTTTCAAAAAATAAGTAAAAAGTTACAGAGTCAAAGAATCCTGGTTTGAAACAATAAGCATAGTTTCCGCACATCTTACTAAGCTACATAACACCATGTGGTAATATACAAAATAGACATCTCTAAGTAACAAAGAAAAGTTTGGGAAAATGCTCATAAGCTGATATCCAGAACTGTATATGCAAGTGACATCCATCTTTAACATCCAGTTAAACATCCAGTTTTCCTCTTTCATATGTTTATGCCATGGCTTCTCAAGGTATGCAGTTAAATATACATTAGAACTTTCATGCTTGAGAAAAATCAAAGCTTTATCATGCCTGCATTTACTCTATAAATTGATTTACATGCATACATAAAATAGACAAGCAGCTAAGCTGTTGTACATACAGAACGCAAGGTATTATACACAAGCATGATGCTGTTGGACTCCACTGCAAAGTCAAATAATTTCTGCTGATATCTAAATCTGGATTGGGTTTGAGTTCGTTGTTTAAGGTCCTTTGCCCAGGATCCATGTCCCAGCTGTTGTTGTTACTCTCCTTTATGGCATGGTCCTATTCCTGACATTAGACTCTCATTACAACTAATACAAACTTTCAGGGTGACTGGACTCCTGTACTGCTTGATTCCTGAGAAAGCTTGAGAGAAAATATGATCCAAATTGCATGTCAGAAATGCTTACAGATATATTGGATATTTATCACTCTTAGACAGTCATATCAAAGCAAGTAATTAACTTGGGTTTTCCAAGTTTCACATCCCCACAGAGACCTTTCTAACTGCTGAATGCCCAATGTGAAAGAAGGAATCCTGCAGTAGTAGAGCTGAGCAAGAGGATGGCAAAAAAAACGGAAGGGAACTGCTCACCTTAAAAACACACTTGCAAGAATATTAATGCAGTAATAATTGGGCAAGGTTGCAAGAAGATGTACATATCTTTGTTTTCATGTAGTAATTATTAAAGTTATTAATAGCACTTGTTGCATGGTTAGAAATAAAAGCAACTTCCTTATCTGCTGTTTCAGAAAAGCAACAAAACTACCCAAATTAGTGGGGCAGGTGGATGGAAACAAAATATACTTTTTCTTTTGCAATCAACCTTCATTCAAATGTCTGAATCTGTAGAATAGGAACACCTAAGATTGCAACAACCAGATGTAATTTATTCCTGATTAATCCTCTAGCTTCTTATGAGATCTGGGTCAAACCAAAATGTTAAAGCTATGTAACAAGGAAAAAAAAAAAAAGAAAAAAGAAAAAAAAAGAAAAAAGAAAAAAGAACATGCACTGGAGTGAAAATTGGGAATTTCTAGTGATATTTCCTGCTACTGGTGTTGTATTCTTACCTCATATAGCTTTCCACCATGTTCCCCGGAGGGCACATTTGCCCACCCATGCAGCGGTGTAGCCAGGAAACTCCTCAGTCTTTGCATATGAGAATTTAATACACAAAGCAAGAACAGAGCAAGAATTGCCTCCACCTAGCTATGATGTCCCTTGCTGAAATCACCATCTGAACTGACGTCAGACAGCTATGCTAAAAAGCCATGAACTCATTGCTGACAAACAGAAATCAGTCACTGGCTTCTCAGCACAGCTGGGTGAACAATTGGAGCTGGCACTGTCAGGGCAACAGCACAAGTGGGCTTTCAAATATCCAGAAAGAAGGAAGGGCTTGTGTTACTCTCATCTGTCAGCTTGCCGCTTCATGGCCTCCTGCATTGTTTAAATCTGCTCCTCATGCTCCCGAGTTGAGGGCGGCAAGCTATAAAAGTGTCGTAATGAGGCCAGATCGCGTCACCAGCCGCAGTGTAAGCACTCCCAGGGCAGGCACAAGGCTTGTGGGTGCCGGTGGCTAGCACGTGAGCGCAGGGCTGCTCTGCAAGCCAGGCTGCTGGTCCATGGCACTTCCCTTCCAAGAGTCCAAGCTTTTGGCATCGCGCAGTTGTATTAGTTTTCATTTATTAAAATATGTGGATAGTTGCTAGACGTGAATGAATCATTTATAACCGGTGTAGTGATATCTGCCTGAGTTTGCAGGTTGTGTAGGCCACAGGCATCGGGATCAGCTGGAGGGAAGCTTGGCACTACTGTGCCTAAAGTTCCAACAATCCTGCTCTAGACACAGACAAAGATTTCCCCTGGGCCATTTTGCACATGTTCGGGGAATGGACTCTGTCATGGTGGCTAACCCCATCCCCTCCCTTCTGCAAAATGCCTGCAAAGTCAGAGGGTAGCTTGAGACATGTTTGGGAGACTCAGGGCATACTGGCTGTGTCCCCGTTCCTGACATCAGTTTCCAGTCCTCTAGCTGCTGGGATCCCTCAGGACTCGAGTTCACTTTCAGTCCTCATCGCACAATGGAACAGGCAGGAAAAAGACTGACACAGCCATGTGGAAGTAACTACCACTCACATGGACATCACCCACATAAGTGTCTGTCTATGAGTTGCCAGTTAACGACACTGTGGAGATAAACTGAGGCAAGTTTAGCTTCTCCCTAAAATGTCTACAAATCAGATAAACTAGATCAAAGGCTATGAATCCTTCCATCTTCAGAAACCTAAGACAGCTATAATTTCTTTCTTGATTCCGGTAGCTTATCAGAGACTTTGAGATCAGATTGTCATCTACTTGTTGAGGTCAGCCATGATGAAAGCACAACAGATTGGAAAGAGCTTGAGAGAGAGCTTAAATACCACTAATTTTTGATCATGAAGTACCCAGATAGGTCTCTGATAAACCAGAAAACTTCTGTCTACAGAGACAATATTGCCTGTGGCAGCTTCACTAGCACTTATTCACTGAGCAAGAGACAAAAAAATTTACTACCAGTGCTTCACCTGGCAAAGCCTGTACTTTTTGAAGATACGTTAAGAGCTCACAGTGTTACACCCCAAATTTCTGTTGAGCTAGTTAGCTTAGAGTGGACTAGGAACCAGCGAGGAGCACGCTTTTATTGTTGGGCTCATAATTTGTTCATCATCAGAAAGCCAAACTTGAAGGCCAAATTTGTAGGTCTCTGGTTAATGCTCTGTAGACTATAGAGTTTTATGCACTAGCCACAGCTGCCAGGAGCAGAATGCAATTCAAACATCAGGGCCTCTCAGATTTGAGGTTGAGGAGACAGATCTTTTCATGTTGTTTACCACCTGTGGATAAGTGCAAACCAAAGACAAGCCATTTGCCCAACATCACTGAGCGATTTAGTAGTATAACCATGTGGTGTCCCTTGACTTGCTTATTACTGGAGCTGACAGCCTCTTAAGAAATACATATTTATGCATTTCATTAGCCAAACATCAGTTGGCTAAGCTGTACATCTTAAAGATTTACAGCATTTAAACCAGACTACCTCTGCTTACTTGCAGATAAGATTACAATCTAATCTCAAAACACACATCCCTTATTTTTCATGGAACACAATTCAACCTTAACATTTAAAGAGCACTGTGAAATGATTCAGCACACAGTACTTCCCTTGAACACACAGAGGAGAGAGATCTTGTGCAAGAGGCAACCCTTAAATACAAAGAGGTAAACTACATGCTCCTTCCGAGTTACACAACTTTTGATCAACAATAACAACTACTTCCCTCCTCCCAAAGCCACTCCTCGGCAAAGACATGCAATTACAATCAAACCAGATCATATCATTTCCTTTATGGTTTTTTTTCCCCTTTCACAGTTAAAGTTCAAGCTGTCTGATTAATGACACCAGTGAGATATATAACAGTATTTACATGGGTAGGTTTCAAAGCTATCATAAGCTACCTAGAGCTGAGTTACAGGATATTAGCTCAAATCTACTGCTGAAAACAGTTTCCAAGTTGCAGTATCTTTCACAGTATAAAACCTAACCAATAGCCGCAATGGTCCAGCTAAACATCTCAGGAGATCCATTTATAAATTTCAATACGCATTAAGTTCTGCACAAGCTTCATCCTTCTAGTGTGCAAAGACAGCTTTTACCAACTTCAGTGACAGCCTGCATGCCCAGGGAAAGAAATCGGTCCATACAGGTGATTCAGATCCCAAACTCCTGACATCCTGCATAGGATTTTCTAAGAACTACGAGCATTAGGGCACTCTTCCAAATTGCTCTTAAAAGTCACCAGCTTTGGCATTTAAGCCCACAACAAGCTTTTGGAAGACTCTGCCTAAAAACTAGCTAATAAAACCAGAGAGAAACGTCCAAAAGTTAACTTGCATTTCTTGTCCAAAAATTACAAAACACATCTTTCAAATACACCTTTAGGTAAAAGTTAGAGGATGCTTTACCTTTCCAGAAACTATAAAAGCAGCTGAGTATTGATGGTATTCAGATGGCTAACTCTTGACAGTGCTCGGACCTGGAGTTGGTCCAAAACACCTCGCTGCAGAGATGGCCGCAGGCAGGTGTGGAACACCGTTTGCCAATCTGTGGTTAACATCTTTAAATAAAAGCAAAGCAAAAAGCAAACATCATTTTTTACTTTACATAACCCAGCTAAGGAGCTGGGGTGGAGTGAGGGAAGCACTTTGCAAAACCTGTTTTCTTTAAGCCACATTTCAATCCTCACCATAACAATAGCTTTGGCACTGAAATGACGTTGCAGTGAAACACCAGCGTGCACAATGTCAAAACTTGCAAAAGGAAACCAACAATTGGACATACTAGCTAAAGTTCATTTCAGCGTTAGTCAAGGTTGTATCCAAGGCTCAAAACTATAAGTGTTACTTACTCACACAGAAGAATGCCGTTTTCTAATCCAGAACGAAAATCTTTCTCACCAAAACTTCTGCCCGTCACTTGCTGCAAAAGAGTAGGAGGAAACAGAAGAGTGACATGTATTAGAAGGCATAGTTTATAAGAGCAATGCATAACATTCAGTTAAAGCATCTGCTGCATAGGAAACATCTGAGCTTTACAGGCCTTGCCAAAGGACTAAGTCGTGTCCGTCAACCAGCTTCCTCCTTCCCATTTCATCGATCTATTTAACACATAGAATGAAGTATTTGCTCTGGCCAGTGCAATTACAGATTAAACCAGAGCTGTTTTCTAGAAGTAAAAAACAAAATCTACAACCCCAAACCTACAAAGTAATCTTCAGAGATTTTAAAAATTTTCTTCTATAGGATTTTGAATTTTAGAACTATTTTATTTAGACAAATTATGTATTTTTACTTCTTTTTTTGCACCATGTTAAAAATCTTGTACCGGGTTTGAACTTATGGCCTTTAACTTATCACCTTTATAGAATAAGCAATGGGAATTGGAAGCGCTCGCACGAGTTACAGCCCTTCAGACACACACTGCAATACTCCTGGTCATATTCAATGATATTTCACATCATGAAGTCAACTGTGAGCATGAATAAAAACTCAGTGGAAGCTGAGGCTTAAGCACCTCCTCACAGTCTGCAGCTTGTCAGGGGTGCTTGGACCAGGAGGTACATTCTGCATTATGAGCTCTTAAGACAGATGGTGCTGCTTAGGGATGGACCATCTAGGAACCGTCTAGGAATCCCCATCTCACCGGAGGGTGCCGGATGCTACAAGTGTGACTGAACCCCTCTTTATGACTCACTACCATGTTGACAATGGCTTGCCATTCATCCTCAAATCATTCTCAACAGATGATGTGTTCAGTTAAAAGAATACTTTTTATTACCAACAGCAAATATATAAAAATAGTTGCTATGTTTAGAAAGCACTGAACAGAAACAAAACAAAGTAAAAAAAGCCTGCCTAGTTTTTAATTGTCCTCCAGGAGGTCTTCTCCTCACCCAGCCAAAACATTTACCGGATGCTTATAGAGTTCTCATGGCTCGCATCCAATCTTTCAGCAAGACCCTTGCTCTGGGCGTTGCTTCTACCACAGAGAACAGTGACTTGGGGACACATCTGTCCTTACGTCCCCATTTTCTCCTTACTGTTCCATTCAGATACAAGACCCTTCCCCTCCCAGTTTCCTGTCATAAAGACAGCAATTTATAAAAACTGACAAGTTTGGCACTTTCCCACGGGATTAGTGAATGTACCAGCTTCACAAATGCTGGTTGTAGCTATGCACAGTCTTAGACAGAGAACAACACTTTTTTGGAATTGAAGTGCAAATGCAAAGCCTAAAACCTAATCCCCCACTTAATTATAAACATATTGTTTTTTTCAATGTGAAGGAACTTCTCCCAGCAAACTGGTATGACAGTGTGCAAACTTTAACCCCCCATACTCTGAAAAGACATCAGGTGACAATCATATTTTATGCAAATGCATAAAGTAGAACAAGGCACGATGTTGTCCTCATACCTCAGAAGAAACCAGATGCAATTTGCCAGCAGTAAATGACCTCTAATAATTTAAACTATCTTTAATCATAGTAAATAATCTCTAATCTGGATCTGCTAGGACAGAGGGAAATCATGACAATAAAACCATTAGCATTTGGGATGAATGATAGATGGAGCATATCAAAACTGACTTTTATTTCTTCCACAGAATAAAGTGCAGTATAGAAAGGAGTAGGAAGAGCTATTTCATAACAGCCTGACTCATAGTGGTTTTTTCATCTATGCAGGGGAAAAAAAAAAAAAAAAAAAGATAGTAATCTTATTTCACTCCTCAACATCAAATGTTCCAGCTATGAAAGTCAATCTTTTTATGTGTTTGTTGAACATCATCATTCATCAGGTGTATTGGGTCTGGCTGAGATGGAGTT